AGCGCCATTTATTAAAAAAAATATCATAATTTATGTCACTTCAGCGCTGTGAACAATAACAATCTTTCAAAAATTGAGTTGCTTTAGCGCCATAAAAGTACTTGAATCTTCACGAAACAGAAACAGATCGACGCAGAAAAAAAATCTGTTTAAAAATAATATTTACGACTCATTTTCGACCAAAGTGGCATATAAGCGATTTCGCATTTCCACTATCGATATGTAACCTACCGCACCTACAATGCCTCAATACAATATCAAATGTTAACTAAATATTTTATATCATACATTAATGCGGCAATTTTTAAGGCATAATATTCAAAGGTATGTTTATAGCAGGCTCCCACACTTGACATTGACTACTTATTAGAGGCCCTTGGCGTCTTGCGAATAACGGTATACGCTCGCGAGGTGAAAGCCGTGGAACTGCATCTGTTCTATCTCTTATATCTGTGCTGCTGGTTTGAAAGCATTAATATTATACGCACCAAGTTGAGTATTTTGGCGATACTAAGACGAATTAAATAAAAGCAATACATAATTATAATATAACACTTTCTAAATGGATACCATGCGCTTTTTTATTATTCTCTAGTAAAGGAAACGACAAGAATAAAGTGAAAATAATAAAAAATGATTTTATTACCCGTTCAAAAAGTGTTTTAATTAATGAACATTGGAATTCAACCTAATTTAAAAAAGATAAGGATTCGAAAAATTGTTTTCATTAATAAAAAATAAAATGAAGTTGCTAAACTTTGAGCTCAAATTATTAAAACGTATACAATATACACATAATTATAATAATATTATATGTAGAAACGAATTGTCATGCTTACTTATTATCAAATTGAGTGTTAAAATATCATGTTTAAAATGTGGTTTCATATATCATAGGTTTCTAATGAATCTGATCTAAGTACTTACATGACTACCGCAACATGATATGACGCAGTAGTTCATTGACTTTTTTGACGTACCTATTCAGACAACGATTTAGGTTATATTCACCTAAAAAAAACAAGTGTGCTTATGACCACACGACTGAAGTGAAACTTCTTTAGAGAGATTTCTCTTGCTTATATCACCCACTCAACTCCCGTTCGCCTCGCCCGAACACACTTTTCGTAACGCGTAATGCATTCGCCAGCTTACCCACCAAGTCAAGCGTGCGTTTCGCTTGAAATATTTTTTACATTTTTTTCGAACAATGTCTCCACGTTAACTCACTTAATGTGCAATTACGAAACATTAACAATTTTAGTTGTCATAAATTGATTCAAATAAATCTACTTTTAGGGTTTACGTACTTTAAAAGGATTATAATTTCATAATCGGCATGTTATTTACAAGTTTGCGCAATTTCAGGACATTTTGTAAACGATATAAATGAATACTTTTGTAGGGGTGTGTAGCATGTTTTCTATTTATAACTGTTCTGACTACATACTTTTATTTACACAAAATTTCTCGGGTAACTCATAATTCACGGTGTATATATAAATAAATATCGCTGTATCGTAAGTATTGTGTGGTAGTGACCATTGATTGTGGAAAACTTTATATTCGATTTCCAAAACGATGCAGTCGTTTAGCATAAAGATGCCTCTTATATTATTGTAGCAGAGCGTGATAATATCATTTTAAAAGATAACTCATTAGTATCTAGACCATATTCATATGTTTGCATTAACGTGAAATTTATAGAAAATCACCCATCACATAGCCGCCTTGTATTTCGTATAAGAAAAGATGTGAATTTCAAAATTCGGGCACCTAGTAGCAATTTGCGCCTTTAGTTGACTTAAAAATGAAAATCGGTTGAGAACTTTATAAGTTGAAGCGTAACAGAAACAGACATTTTATCTTTGACGATGATCCATGGGAATCCTACAACAATAAAATTTTCTGTCATTGGTTCACCATACTCTAGAAACTCTAAAAAGAAATATTTTATCACCTTATTGCAACACATCTTGTAGCCTTCCTCGATAAATGAACTTTTCAATCAAAAAAAATCAAATCGGACTAACAGTTCTTAAAATAAGCAATCAACCAAACCAACAAACAAACTCAAAATAAACAGAATAGATACCTATTTAAATTATAATAAATACATATAACCCTAATAATTCAATATGCAGAAACTTTCCTGCAAATCAGGTCGCTATTTACTTTTTACCAAAAAAAAGAGAATTCTGCGTAAAACAAAAAGCCACAACTAGTTAATATTACTTTCATACGAAAGTTCCTTTTTCGGAATTTCGACTCCAAGTTCAATTCAATTACATAATTCAAACACGAAATCATAGACGTGCTATTACTAACTCATTTCTTAAGTTCACTCTTAAGGTAAAGTTTGTCAGGAAGCGAATATTTCATTCGAATTACAGCTCATTAAATGACATTTGAATAGTAATGAAGCCCCATTTCCAGCGAATCATTAAGGTGACATCGAATTTTCACATGACAACGGCCAACCTTGAACTCGTGATACGGATATTGAAACATAAGTGAAATAATTGCAAGATAATTCCATACACAAAAAGATACATTTAAAGTAATTGCAGTTGACCGCTCTTTGTATGTAAGTGAGGATAAATTGGCATCTTTAACGTATGTGAAACAAATGTCATGGACAAGTTTTGATCCGTTTTATTACAATTTCCTATTTTCGTATTGATATTACTTGAAAGGAGCAGTGAAAGGTTAACTGAATCAGTATGAAAACGATTGTTTCTGAATACAATACGGAAAACAGAGACATAAATAAATTGTAAGGCATTTTATGCACACAGCTTGTCTAGTTCTAGTGGGGGCACGCATATCGTATAGGTACCGTAAATTATACTTATGTAAAAGCATGTATTACATTGTTCTGATTGATTTATGTAGTTGCCTAAAGCTTTATGTTTCCAACGGTTATGAATCAACTATAGAAGATACATCAAGCCGATGCCAAGCAACTGAAGTAGTTGAGATATAAAAAAAAGATTCCCACGAATTGAGAGCCCCATTTTTTGTTTTACGAACATTCATATTTAAATAGACTGTTAAACACTTTAGACTGCCTGTGCGTCAAAAAAAATTTTGATTTTTTGAGACTTATTCTGCGGACAAAATCAGCCTTAATCCATACTAATATTATAAATACGAAAGTGTGTGTCTGTCAGTCTGTCACTTCTTCACGCTTTAACCGCTGAACCGATTTATATGAAATTTGCTACAGGGACAATTTGATTCCCGAGAAGGACAGTTTTATGGAAAGGATATAGGAAAGTTTTTATCCCATAGGATTATTTTTATGAAGGGGGTGCAAAGGGGCGTAATGTTGTATGGGAAACTATTTTTCCTCGCAGACGAAGTCGCGAGCACCCACTAGTATATTTTATTGTTATGTAATGCACAACATGCTGGATAACGAAGATCACAGCAAGCTAAGCCCTTATTTATTATCTAATTGAAGAAGAATAGTGACGCATGTTGTATCTTCTTCCGTATCTACATACATTTAATTGAATATATTCTATACTGCAAATGCAAGTGTGCATATAAAATTGTTCATAATTATATGAGTTACTGACAGTCGCATTAGATATAGTATGTAATTAATATTGTTTTGCATATTTATTTGATTACGGTTATGTAGATTAAATGCGTAATAATGATGTGTCATAATAATATATATATAAACGATGAAACAGGATATATGGGGCAAACTTTTAACCGGCTGATAAAGTTAGTAAACTTGATATTTATTTAACACTGATTTTATACTCTTTTTCAAATATTAAATTTGAAGCAGTAAATAAATAAGCTTAAAATATAGATGGTTAAGATAGAGAAATAAAAGATTCAATTTAATATCGTTGATTGAAGGAAAAATATCGAATCAATATTTCTGGGCCAACATATTTTTTTTTTACAATAATGCAAATTTATTAAAATTCGATATAATGATTTCCGGTTCTCATTAACATAACATTTGCTAAATGTCTAAAAACGAACGATACTTTTTTAAATCTTAGCAAAGAGTTTTAATGTCAGAAAGGTAGCCAACATTTTCTTAATAAAATTAACTTTGGGAGATAAAATATAATAAATAAACATTTAATTCTTTAATTTGATTCATTTTGACAATAAATTACAATAATGTATCGGTAACAAATTCACAAAAATATTAATTTACTTTATTAGTAACACTGACTGTTTTTTGTTCCTTTGCCTAAATAAAAGCGTTGATGCGCGCGCATTGCGAATCTGTGAAAAAGTTATTTATTTTTCTTTTCGCTGTATTGTTTTTATTTGAAAATATTGTCAAGTAGTAACGAATTTATTAATTTGACATCTCCAGAAGTCGAAAAGACTACGTTAAGCCTCTTGCCCGAAAAATCCACGGATAGATACTTACAGTCAAGCGTATCAAAATTTCATCTTATAGAAAACATACAAAGATGCAAATTCATTTTCAGAAAGTACGTACGTAGGTAGTATTATTTCCTCGCAAATGTGTTATAAAACGTATTAAACATGTTATGGACATACGTGCGGTTTGATAATTACAACCTCTGCCTTCTTATAGCCCTCACCTACGGCTCGGGCTAACAATATCCCCTCGGCTGTAATCCTCAACTTACCGCACTTATATCATAATGTACTAATATACTTTCCCTCTGTGTGGCAAAGCCGTGGGACGCCATGTATAGTCAAATTTGACACTATATATTATTGATTTATTATGTATTTCAAATTGCATTAACTATAATCAAATTTAACTATCGGTGTAACAACGCGAACTTAGAGAAAATGTAATTTGATTATGTAAAAGAAATGTAATAATGTAACTGCTGAATAAAACTATGAGTTTGAAATTACCTGCCATTTGACATGCTCTATCACTGTCAATCAGTTTTAAATATGTACTAGTTTGGTTTGAAACTAAGATTAAAAAAAGAAATTCATCATTCAATTATCATAGCCTATTAATGTCCTCATTGCAGGGGCACAGGTCCTCCCTATGATGGAATAGGGAGACAGGGCCGTGACCCACCACGCGGGCCCAATGCGGATTGGTAGTATGCGAACGACTGCAGATGCAGCCAGCACCAAAGGCTTATCGGTTTCTGAAGCACGGATGAGCTTGAGATTGTAAGTTTTTGGTCACCCATCCAATGACCGACCATTGCGAAAGCTGCTGTATTATCAAGATCGCAGACCAAATACGCTAACCACTTGCGCCATTGGCTTAATGAAGAATGAATAAAGAACAAGAAAGCAGGTTTTCCTACTACCGAAGTGATTGAATTTAAAAGGAAATTAAATTATTGTATTTTGTTGCAGGCTACTCAAAATGGATTTGGAGTTTCGGAATCTCAAGTATACAGTATCCAGTCCCCTATCGAAAGGTAAGAAACAATAAAAAAATGAGTATTATTTAATGGTAATTGGAGGTGTATTATACTATGGGCAGCGTATTGAATTCTGAGCGGAATAAAGGATTCTGTAATAAGTTCTCGAACGTAGTGATGGAATTATGGTAAGAATTCTGAAGTCTACCCAAGGCTAAGTAAGACACTTTTATCCCCGAGGAGCATACCCTTACACTTAATGTAAAGGTTAAATTAAAAAAAAGTTAATTCAATTAAGAGTGAGTTAAATTAAAAAATAAATGTCTGTAATTAGTCCAATTATGGAAACTTAACGTGATAAAGATTCAGAGGTTTTTTTACTAAGTATTTTTCCATTTTCCAAACTTTTCAGAAACTTTTTTTTATAAGTATATTGATCTTAGATTGTTTGGTAAAAGTTCCGTCAATAATGTTTTTAGCTTCCGTTTCTATACCAGAGTCGCTGTCACGGGACATTTTTCTCAGTTTTATTTTATTTTTTGACAACGAATTAACAATTCGCTTTAAAAACACAAATCATTTCTTTAGATATTTAGTTCCAAGCAAAGTTAATAGCTAAGACATACAATTCAGCCAAGTTTATAAAATGTTAAATATATTTCATCGGATTATTTCAAATTTAGAAAGAACGGAAAAAGGTCAACAAAAACTTTTCAAAAATAGTGTTCACCAAAAAAACAAGGCTGTTCAAGTTTTAATATATAAAAACTATTAAAACTTTAACAGCTTTGTTTTTTTGGTGAACACTATTTTTGAGAAGTTTTTGTTGGTTGGTTCTGAATGTCAAATGACATTGGGTAATTAAGGGAACGTCCATTAAATGTTAGCTCGCTTGAGATTTGGTGGATTACCTTAAATTGAGAATACTTGACATTGTATAATATGTGTTCCAAACGCTGGTGGTGTATAAAAAAAATTAAAAGCTCTTCAAAACAACTTCTCTAATATTTTTTTCGGCATATGTTTGCGCACGCTTCTTTTAAATACCTACAACATTGTTGAACGAGCTATGAAGCGTAGAGATTAACTATAATAAATTAAAATTAATCGTTTTACAAAAGTTTCCGATACCTATAGTGCTATTTATTAATTCTAATATGTTGATAGACTGAGAGCCAGTGATCCGCAGACTTACGGTATAGTAGCAAACTCCATATTAATGCTAGTTATAGTAATTCATCTGCCGTAGATCAAATGGGGTTTCACTATTCCCATAGAGGGTTCCTTTAGGCGTGCCTAGAAGTCGAAAAGCATGAAAATCGACTTTCAAAACGTGATCGCAGCATGTCTGCCGTTTTGATATCTTAATGGCAGACACTTGTTCCGGTTCCTACTATATTTTATATAATATCGTAGTTTCCAAAATTTCATAAAATTTACGTTATTTTAGCAAAGCTAAAAATTATATATGTCATTTATATTATTATTATACATGTATATCTAAAAAACCAGACAGATAGGTCGGTTCTAAAATGCAGGCAGACAACATAATAGTTTCGCAGTCATGCTAATGGAGATATACGATATTGACTTTCTCTCTCTTCATCTCGCAGGTATTCAGTATTCAAGCACCGTTGTTAAAACGATAGACAAGGTTTGATAAATATATGCTAAATAAAACTAGTTTTTCACGGGTTAATGCACGAAACTTTATTTAATTATTGACGTTTCGCAGCCTTTACAGGCTGCTTCGTCAGAATGAAATGAAATGAAGCCTGTAAAGGCTACGAAGAATTGACGTTATTTTTGATCAATATTTTCATCCTTCGATTAAAGACAATGAAAGGTCTCTACGCCATGAACCACAAAACACAGAATTTATTATTTCTGGACCAGATCAAATTCGACCAGATGATTTTGCAAAGGAAATGAAGAACATAAAATTCAAAGAAGCGCTAATTGACTTCTTTTGTCTTCATTGGGCACGTGATGAGAATGCACCATTTCTTAACAACAAAACTGTACATCTTAATTTCCGACAATGTTATTCATAAAACTTGGAAGATTTGGAGTGCTGTCGGAAATCTGCAGTTCTGACGAAGAACAATGAAATATTTTGATTTTTTTTAGTCAATATTAATTTTGTTTATTCTGTATTTGAATTAAGAATTGTTCGTTGTGCTAAAACAAAATAAATAGCAAAATTATTGTAAGTTAAAAAAAAAAATTGATTTCCTAATAAAGACTTATATATTTATGATTGAAAATAAGAGTTCTAAATTATAAAATTAACAAAACACTGTTCACATGTATTCATACTGATTCGCTGTCATTGCCAGTAAGAGTGAGAAAGTCAATATTGTGTATCTCCATTAGCATAACTGCGAAACTGTTATGTAGTCTGCCTGCATTTTAGAACCGACTTATCTGTCTGGTTTTTTAGATATACATATATAATGATGTAAAAAACATACATACATAGTAGCTTTGCTGAAACACTAGTTCCCTGCGAAATGAAGAGAGAGAAAGTCAATATCGTATATCTCCATTAGCATGACTGCGAAACTATTATGTAGCCTGCCTGCATTTTAGAACCGACCTATCTGTCTGGTTTTTTAGATATACATGTATAATAATGATGTAAAGAACATACATAAATTGTAGCTTTGCTGAAACACTAGTTCCCTGCGAAATGAAGAGAGAGAAAGTCAATATCGTATATCTCCATTAGCATGACTGCGAAACTATTATGTAGTCTGCCTGCATTTTAGAACCGACCTGCCTGTCTGGTTTTTTAGATATACATGTATAATAATGATGTAAAAAACATACATAAATTGTAGTTTTGCTGAAACACTAGTTCCCTGCGAAATGAAGAGAGAGAAAGTCAATATCGTATATCTCCATTAGCATGACTGCGAAACTATTATGTAGTCTGCCTGCATTTTAGAACCGACCTATCTGTCTGGTTTTTTAGATATACATGTATAATAATAATATAAATAACATATATAATTTTTAGCTTTGCTAAAATAACGTAAAATTTATGAAATTTTGGAAACTATGATATATTATAAAATATAGTAGGAACCGCAACAAGTGTCTGCCATTAAGTTTTTCTATATAAAAAAATAATTATTTTAAGATATCAAAACGGCAGACATGCTGCGATCACGTTTTTGTAAGTCGATTTTCATGCTTTTCGACTTCTCGGCACGCCTAAAGGAAATCTCTATGGGAATAGCGACCACCATTTGATCTACGGCAGATGAATTAGTATAACTAGCATTAATATGAAGTTTGCTACTATACCGTAAGTCTGCGGATCAATGGCTCTTAGAATATTAAACAAGTTTTATGTAAGACCTGGGTGGGCAACCAACAGGATATTTATTTGTGCATTGAGTGTAATAAGAAAAACAAATAAGAAAGTATTTGATAAAAAGCATACTCTTCACTAAAAAAATAACGAGTGCTAGTCGGGCTCGTCCACCGATGAATAGAAGCGGCCGCTTCTATTGCGCGTAGCATATTAAAGTGTCTGTTTTTACGTTAACTGAAAAGTTTAAATTTTTCACAGCTTCAAGGTACCCCAAAGTTGAGTACCTATATGTTTTAAATTTCAACTTGATTCCTCCACGTGTTCCCGAGATAAAGGGTATTTTTAATAACAATAAATCCACACTCACACCGTGACAGGCAGATAGAAAAACGGCCATATCTTATTTGTACGTTAACTTAGAAGTTTGATTTTTTGACAACTTCAAGGGACCATAAACTCGAGTATACGGTTTAAATTTCAACTTGATGCCTCCACGCGTTCTCGAGATAAAGGGTCTTGCTTGGCAGCCATACAGATAATCAGTCGTATCTTATTTTTACGTTAATTCAAAACTTTGATTTTTCGACACATTCAAGGGACCGTAGACTTGAGTTAAAGGGTCCTGACAGACAGATAGACAGACGAACAAAAAAGTGAGTATAATAATAAGGGTACCGTGTTTTCTTTTGAGGTATGGAACCCTTAAAGTCATAATTTTGTAGGTACCTACTTAAGTTTAAAATTAACTTAAATAGGTATGTACCTTCGTAAAACCTCAAGAATTTCATGTGTGTTATTACCACAGTTACCTACCTACCTACCTACCACAACTAATAATGATTAGTCGAGAACAATGTTTTATGATAATGAACATACGAAACGTAAGTGTGTCCATTATCATTAAACATTGTTCTTGCTGATTTCACATATTTTTACAGTAATCATAGTAATGGCTCGCAAAGTTTGCGACTAATTTTCTAAGGCAGTTGATCCACCGCCGGCGAGAAAGCGACTAACTGTCGGCTATTTCCCTGCTTAAAAAACGTACAATAGATATTAGATACTATACATTCTGTGTAACTGTAAATATTCTGCGATCAACTACCTATTAATTATATGCATCTCTTATGCATATAATTAATAGGTAGTTGATCGCAGGACTGCTCACACTGCTGGCGAGAACTCTCTCCACTAGTTTGCTGCGACTAGAGCTATCATGATTAAACTCGCTCAGCGATACTGGCTCAGAGATGCTCGCTTGTCTTAAAACGCGTGTGCGTGAATTTTTGCTCAGGATTCTAGTTTGTAGCTCTACTCGTTTCTCGTTCATCGTTGGCAGTGGAACAAGAACCTTAATGGCCACCGTTTATTTGGTTCTATAGAAACGGCAACGAAACCTTAAACTTTCACAAGACATTAGTAAAAATAGATTGTAACAGTTCTTTTTTGTGATAATTTTCTTCCTATAATTGAAGCATCGAGAAGCTCGTTGGAGCATTTCACACAAAGAGGTCAGAAAGGCCTTGTGGGCGGGGCTGGCGTGCCACAGTAATGTGTGAGCAAATGTTCATAATTTGACCATAACTTGGTTCTGATTGCGTCGTTGGTCTCGGGTGTGAGCGCTAATTGGTTCGATTGTTTGATGTCGCGTCGTTTGATTGGTTGTTATCTATTAGGTGGAAGTGTAGTGGAGGCGAGCCTGCGACTTCGGTTCATGTACATACGATTTATGATT